AAAAAATTTGAGCGATTTTCCACTTTTAAATCTGAAGTTTAAAAACTGCATACGATATCGTGTATCGTGTATTTTCTGGTTAACTTTTAACCCCATTGCGTGTGTTTTATCAGAGATAACTCTCAGAGATAATTCTCGAACTGTGTTTAAAGTTATCTCCCCTGAATTGACCACCACGACGGGATTACGCAACCATTGGCTTTATCGAATATTTAACCCCCGTGAAATTCTTGCCCAAAATCAACCAATGAAAATGCGTGTTACAGCGGCGCACGGATGTCTGGCATAGCCTAGCCCGCCGGTCAGGGGAGGCAAACATTCTCGGACGCCGAAAGCAAACCTCGAGGCGGATGTTCTCGCGAGAACTCACGGGTTTGAAACAACACCGGACCTTGTCACATGACCCCTCTGTTGACCCCCCTTAATCCTATTTGGAGCGATCCACAAGGTCGATATTTTTATTTTATTTTGAATATTTTTTTACATTGTAGCAAAAAGACGGTAAGCAGCCATTGAGAAACATTATAACAAAAAATGTTTGCGTCTTTGCACGGTGGAGGGAAACAGGGGAGGGGGGGTACGGATAATCTTTGACATAAAAGATTAATAATCCCGGAGTTTAAAAAGTTGGCACCTGCAGTTATGAGGTATTTGAATGTGGTGGTGTGTGTATGCCTTTGTGTGTTTGTGTGTGTAGGTCTCTATGGGGTTGTGTGTGGTGGTGTGTGGAGGCATATGTGTGGTGGTGTGTGGAGTCATATGTGTGGTGGTGTGTGGAGGCATATGTGTGGTGGTGTGTGGAGACATATGTGTGGTGGTGTGTGTAGGCATATGTGTGGTGGTGTGTGGAGGCATATGTGTGGTGGTGTGTGTAGGCATATGTGTGGTGGTGTGTGGAGGCATATATGTGGTGGTGTGTGGAGGCATATGTGTGGTGGTGTGTGGAGGCATATGTGTGGTGGTGTGTGGAGGCATATGTGTGGTGGTGTGTGGAGGCATATGTGTGGTGGTGGGTGAAGATCTATGTGTGGTGGTGGGTGAAGGTCTATGTGTGGTGGTGTGTGTAGGTCTATGTGAGGTGGTGGGTGTAGGTCTATGTGTGGTGGTGGGTGAAGGTCTATGTGTGGTGGTGGGTGTAGATCTATGTGTGGTGGTGGGTGAAGGTCTATGTGTGGTGGTGTGTGTAGGTCTATGTGTGGTGGTGTGTGTATGTCTATGTGAGGTGGTGGGTGTAGGTCTATGTGTGGTGGTGGGTGTAGGTCTATGTGTGGTGGTGTGTGTATGTCTATGTGAGGTGGTGGGTGTAGGTCTATGTGAGGTGGTGGTTGTAGATCTATGTGTGGTGGTGGGTGTAGGTCTATGTGTGGTGGTGGGTGTATGTCTATGTGAGGTGGTGGTTGTAGATCTATGTGTGGTGGTGGGTGTAGATCTATGTGTGGTGGTGTGTGTATGTCTATTTGACGTGTTGTGATTTGTGTAGGCATATGTGTGTAGGGGTCTGTGTGGTGTGTGATAGTCTATGTGTGGTGTGTGTGTAGATCTATGTGTGGTGTGTGTGTAGATCTATGGGTGGTGGTGGGTGTAGGTCTATGTGTGGTGGTTTGTGTAATGGATCAGGTGAGTGTATGCACTGGGTTTGGTAATGGATTAAATGAGTGTATGGATTGGGTGAGATAATGGATTAGTTGAGTTAATGGATTAGTTGAGGGAAGGGACTAGTTGAGGGAATGTATTAGGTGAGGGAATGGACTAGTTGAGGGAATGTATTAGGTGAGGGAATGGACTAGTTGAGGGAATGTATTAGGTGAGGGAATGGACTAGTTGAGGGAATGTATTAGGTGAGGGAATGGACTAGTTGAGGGAATGTATTAGGTGAGGGAATGGACTAGTTGATGGAATGTATTAGGTGAGGGAATGGACTAGTTGAGGGAATAGAATTAGATGCGGTTGCTGAGACTGTAGGGTATGAATTAGAAAAGAGTGTGGATTGAAACAAGGTCTGGGCTAAATTCGGAGGGGGGGGGTGGGGGGTGGAGGGGAGAGTGGCTGAAGGTACAGTATTTGGATTTTATGTGGAGGGAATGGATTAATGATGAGACCGTGGATTAAAGGACTTAAAGTCTCATCGAGATATACAGATTAGCAAACACATGTTACTAAATATAGACATCAACTGACGTGATGAATACGCCCTCTACCGGTCCACATAGTAAAACAGACGTTAAGGTTTGGGTTAGGTCTAATGACACTAGCTTAGACATAGATGTGTCAGGAAATCATTGGCTTGTGGAGATGATTCAATGATAGGAGATGGGAAGATACATAATTTACTGGGTCTAAGGCTAGGGGGCAGATATGTGTGGGGAGGGGAGGAGTCGGGGGTGGATAGGGAGAGGGGGTGGGGGTTGATGGAGATTAATTGAAAAGCTCAATCTAATATGTTATTTTTCTTATTGGACTATTTTATTGTATATTTTTTGATTATCTGTATGTCTCTGTG